AGCACTTGGATGGATTCAGTTTCATGTTGTACTTCTTTAAGGTATTGAAAACTTCGTGTAGATGCTTCGGATGATCTTCTGTGATACCCCTCGGATCCGAGACACGGGTTGATCAGGCCCAGGCCCGAGCCCGGGGGAATATCAAATAATTAAAGTATTTATAATGAACACGGAATACAAAATGAATTAAGAAATGAAATTAAAGCAGAAAAGAACTAAAAACAGAATCCGTAAAATATTATAATTATTAAAATCCATCAAACCCAAACTCCATCAGTTTACAACTCGGGAATCCATCCATTGGACCCCTTATTTAAATTCTCCAAACGGTACTGAAATAATAAAAAAATAAAATCCAAAGCTAACATAGAGAAAATTCCTACATAATCGGAGGAGTGAATAGCTGTATCTGCTCTGCACGTCCAAACTCTAACCCTGGAACTGACGAGCACCTGAAAAATAAAGAAGTGGGTCAGGCCCACATGCAAGTCCTGATCTACTACAATCCAAACAGTAATCCGATACGCAGATACATCATAGGAAGACTCAACAATATCTAGAGTAGTCAATATATGTATATAGTACACACTATAGGACGCTCGCTAGTCCAGTAGGTTTGTCTCAGCCTGAATAGAAGGCAACATGCAAATACGCACCCTAGGGTGGGCATGAGTACCTAGACCTACCAGGGAACAACACATATGTCCAGTTATCCATCCTAGGCGATATACGCGCCCTAACCATGGTCCTGAGACTCAAGCTCATACCATGGCACATATAATAAATATATAAAGTCCATACTCCTCCTAATACATAATACCATCCATCTGTGTGGTGGTCTGGTATATGTATATCCATCCGTCCCGAAACCATATTAAGTCATTCAACTATTTTGTTGACATGACACAAGTAGGTGATGGACTTAACTCATAGGGTTAATCCATACCTTAATCCAAAGTAGGTAGGATTTAGTGTTTGACTAATCCATACCTAGTATGTCACCGTCCCATACCGGTACATACAATCCTCCAATTAACGAAGTTGACAAAAACAAAAATAAGTATTTATCAACCATACTCCAAAATTAGCATAAATATAGTTTAACATGTATATAACCAACTTATGCATTCAATATAAGATTTAGAATCCCAATTACAGTCCGTTAAATTGATAGAGTAGAATTACACAATCTACTTCTCCGAACAGTACCATAACTGATGCAATGTAAAATAGATTTTAACACCAGTTGATCCCAATTAAGCATACATATAACTATACAATAGTATAATTATAACACAGCTGCAAAACATGATTTATAAATCCAAGTCATGCAGAGAAATAAAATTCCAAAAATAATAGACAATAGAAATTAATTTTCAAATCATCCACCCACGGGTTCACTGTTTAATCTTAGCTTAATTCCGTTCTTAGTTCCTATTTGTAATCATACTTCCCAACATTTTTACAAGTCTTAAACATGAAATTACAACATCCAGTAGCCTTTAAATAATTTTAGAAAATCCAATTTCAGCCAAAAAGTCTCTAAAACTCAGTTCTGTGCGTTTTAAGATGGAGCAGGCTCTTTAAAAACTTTGAGCCTGCTCAAAACCATTTGGAGCCTGCTCTAAAACTTTTAGAGCCTGCTCTAAATCACTTAGAGCCGGCTCCAACTCTTTGGGAGCCGGCTCTAAGGGTTTTGGGAGCCTGCTCTCCCTCCCTTAACAGCCGTTGTCCGTTCCAGCTTCGTTTTCTCTGATTCCGGTGATTACCAGAGCCTCTGTAACATGTTTTAATTTTTATTCTAGGTTCAATCTCAGTCCTAGGTACATATTTAAACCACTGATATTCAATGATAGCATGCATGGAACATAGGTTTAGGAGCAGCGATCACAGACCTTAGTCTGAAATTTTAAGCAACTCACAACAGATTAATTTGGTGACATTCAATACTGTGTTACTTACTTATACAAGGGTTCATTTAATGTCTCAGACTAATTCTCAAGCATAAATATATATTCACAACAAGAATTTAACACAAGATTCAGAAACAATCCGCAGCAAAATCAAGTAGCAGAAAATCAACAATTCTTGCAAAGCAGTTAATTCACGAGAGTAAATGAAATTCATACATGCATATAAAACTTGTTATAAAGTTTATTTAAGTCCATTTTATCCTTGTTTTAATCCTTGGAGTCTTAACTAAGTATGCACAGAACACAGATTAAAGTGATAGAGTGGAACAGAGACTTGCCTTTGAATTTCAGATTTGAAATTCTAATTCACCGTCTCTGTGTGATATGTTTGTGTCATGCACTGTAGTTCCCCACTACCACGCTCCTTCCTCCTTGAGTTGCTTTGCTAATCACCTAAGTTCACTCTGTGTTTCCCTTAAATCTTTCTCTCTGTAACGTACGCAAACTCCCTCTCTGTTACTCTGCCCTCACAACTCTCTGTAACACTGTATACCTGAATATGGTGAATAGGGTTTTCAGAAACCCTCGGCAGACGTATACCCATATATTTATAGAGTTATACCAAAACCCTAAATTAATTAAAGCCCTAACTAAATCCTAACCGGCCCATAGAAGTTAATTAAAACCTGTGTCGGCTAATATGTGAATATACAGAAAACACAATCCTACTTTAAACCAATTTAATTAAATAAACCCCATTATCAATTAAGTCAAATAAAACATCATAAAACAATTTAATTTAAAACAATGTAATAAAAGAAAAACCAAACAATTTAATCAATTAAAAAAAAAATTAAATAACCATGGAAGAAACACACAATTAAAATAACCAATTAAGAGAATAACACGCAATTAAACAATTTAAATAAAAGATTAAACAATTAAATAAATGCCAGGACTATCCTTTTAAAATTAGGGGTATTACATCTTGTCTCTTCACACTTTTAACCACCATGTCATCTATATATGCTTCAACTGTCTTTCCCAGTAGATTATCGAATATCTTGTTAACAAGGCGTTGATAAGTAGCTCCAGCATTCTTCAGTCCGAAGGGCATGACCTTGTAACAATAAGTCCCCTTTTCTGTAATAAAAGCCGTTTTTTCTTCATCTTCGGGGTTCATAGGAATTTGATTGTATCCCGAGTATGCATCTAGGAATGTCAGCCTCTCGTAGCCGGTGGTAGCATCAACCATCTGGTCTATCTTGGGCAGAGGGAAGCTATCTTTCGGGCAAGCTTTGTTGAGGTTGGTATAGTCTACACAAACCCTCCATTTTCCATTCTTCTTTTGTACGACTACCACGTTTGACAGCCACTGTGGATATTGGACTTCTCGAATGAAACCTGCTTATAACAATTTGCTCACTTCTTCAGCTATAATGTGATTGCGTTCAGGGGCAAACCTTCGGTGTTCCTGCTTAACCGGTTCGAACTCCGGATCCACCTTCAGACTATGGCAGGAAACTAAGGGATCGATCCCTACCATATCCGAGTGATCCCACGCAAAGGCATCTGCATTGCTCCAGATAACATCAATCAATGCCTCCTTTTCTTCGGACGTGGAAGAAGAGCCTAAATAAGTAACCTTCTGAGGGTCACCGAGGATAACCTCCACTGCTTCTAGGGTTTCCTCGGTGGGCTTCGCAATTTCCTCCTCCTCCTCTACCTTAAGGTACTTAGGTAGAGGGCTCTGTAATTGCTCTTCTACCTTAAGCTACTTAGGTAGAGGGGTCTGTATTTGCTCCTCTACCTTAAGGTACTTAGGTAGAGGGCTTTGTAATTGCTATTTGGGTACAGTTTTGGAAGCCACACTTGGCTGTTGCCGAGTAGACACCTTCTTTGCTTCAACTTGCGTCAACATATAGCATTCCTTCTCTGTGACTTGATCGCCCCACAGATTAATTACTTCTTTCCTGTCCGGAGATATGCACCGCATCACCTGGTGAAGGATGGACGGAACTCCTCTCATCCGATGTATCCAGCCTCTTCCCATGATGAGATTATAAGAAGGATGGATATCTGTTAAAACAAAGTTCTCCTTTAGAGTCCTCTTCGCCGCGGTTACAGATAAGTCTATTACTCCAAGGGGATCTACTTTCGTGCCATCAAATCCCATCAACGGGCAGGAGGTAGGTCGAATAGATGATGACGGGATCTCCAGCTGCTCAAAGATCGTCTTTGTGATTATGTTGGCGCTACTTCCTGGATCTATCAAAACCCTCCTGATCATACAATTGGCCACTAAAAGACTGATGACCAATGGATCCTTATGGGGGCATTGAACTCGGGATAGGTCGCCATCTCCGAATCCAATACTAATGCTACCCAAAGCGATTGCATTGACTGAGGTTATCTTCCTGATCTTGTGGGTTGCCCTTAGTCTGGATCTGTATACCCCCTCGGACTCTTGATCATCTTCAGACCTGCGATGTATTGCATGAATAACTTTTACTTGCGTACCTTCTACCTTGCGGGGATAGATCTCGCGGGGCTTTGCATACTCCTTTGTCATGAGGTAGTCTGCCAACTCACCCCTGGCGATCATATTCTGCACCTGTCGCCTGAGGGATCTGCAATCATTGGTTGAATGCCCATAATCTCGATGATAGGCGTAATGCTTGCTTTTGTCCCTTTGCTCCAGGGGTTATTTTATTGGCTGCGGAGTTGTGAACCTCATCTTATTCTCTTGAAAAAACTGAGCCAAAGTAGTTCGGAGGGTGTAAATCCTTCCTCTACCCTTTGCTTCTTTTCAAATGCCTGGGTGATTGGCGTCAAGGAACGTTGGCTTTTCTAAATCTTTGGAGTTGGAATTCTTTCTCGAGGCTTGTTTTCCACCGTCACGAGGGTGCCGTGCTACGCTCGGTGGGCTATATTTTCCTCGAGCCGAATGTAGATCTGAGCCCTAGCATTGAGAGTCTGCATGTCGGGAGGAGAGTACTTGACTAAGGAAGTGTGGAACTTCGTCCCCTGAATCATCGCAAGTTTAAATGTCTCTATAGCCGTTGCAGGATGATAGTCTCCTATTTCTTAGGCTTCCATGTTGAATCTTGATAAGAAATCCTGTAATGTTTCCCCCTTCTTTTGTCTCATGGTGAAGAGGCTGGCAATGCTCTTCTTTTGCTTCTTATTCCCGCAATACTGTGCCAGGAACATGGTGCACAGAGTTACATAATCCGGGATGGACTTATGCGGTCGATTCCTGAACCATTCTAGTGCTGCTCCTGTTAAACTGGTAGGAAAAACTCTACACATCCAATGGTCATTACGATCATCCAGAGCCATCTTTTGAGCGTAATGATCTAAGTGCCGAGATGGATCCCCCGTTCCATCAAACTGGGTGAAAGAAGGCATGGTAAACCTCTTAGGCCTCTCTACCAGATACACATCGTCAGTGAAAGGAGTTTTTACCAAGGAATTTTTGTATTCTCTAGCCATCTCGGCAGGTGTTTGAATCTTCAGGAGTCTTTTCTCATCAAAGGCATCCTGAACTCCTGCACCATCTGGGATTTCATTGGACCACACCGTGAGCTTATGGCTGGATTCGACTTGCTTGTCTTGTGTGCGATGGGGGACGTTATCCGAAGCCGCAGCCTCGGATCTTACCCTACGTTGTTGCTGAACCTTATTCGGCTGGGCCTCATTGGGTCGTGCCCCATTAGGTGGAGCCCCATTGGGCAGAAGTCCGGTAATTGGAGGAACATTCTGACTAGGGGGTGCCAGCGTGTCACCCACTGGTGGCGGTGCTGCCAACTGAGCCATCGCCGCTTGCAGAGTGTTATTTTGCTGTTGAAGCAAGGTGATCTGTGCCACGCTTGCTTCGTTTGCCTGACGAAGTATATCAAACTGGTGTAGAAATTCTTCACGCATCTTCTGCATCAACTCCATCTGTTGATCCGTTGAAGATCCTCCATTCGACATTCTGGATGGTAGTTGCAGGATTCACCTGTGAAACAAGAGTGGGAATATATTTGCACACGATTCCTACAGACGGCGCCAAAGTGTAGGAGCAAAATTTCGCCCAACCAATAATGATTGGGAGAAATAACACAACTCACTCAATAAACAATAAAAATAAACAAGAACAGTGTATAGAGAGGCGTAGAATTGCTTGATCCCTTTATTGAAGGTTTAGGCCTCTATTTATATACAAAAGTTAGAAGAATTATGGTAGGACTCGCGTTACTTGTCCTCTAATTCTTTCCATATATCAATTTCTTTACAAATAGAATTCTTTCCTCTTTATAATTCTTCCCTTACCAGATTTTCCTTACGCAGAACTTACTTCCTTTGGTGAATCATTTTCCTTGCAGGACCGGCTCCTTCTTTAAATGGATTTGGGCCGCATTTAACTTGGTCCACATGACTCTGTTCATGGGCTAGAAGCTTGTCATTAGTGACATTGGGCTGCTAGCATCTTGATTCGGGCTTTAGTAAAGCTGGTAGTTAGATAACAGTAGTTTTGGGCTAATGACCAACTCAACTTGAGCTTTTAATGAGATGGGCTTTGAACTTTATCGAAGATAAAGTTATATTTATGATGACGTGGACTGCTCTTATTGGAGGGAGATTTTTCCCTCCACAACTACCTTTTGGCAAAATGTTTATTTAGTTATAATTCAAGCATTCTTAAATATTCTACTCACTTATCCCACATTAAGACATTGATCACCTTTTGCCAGAACTAATGCCCTCATGTAGGTAAATGCACTGTGAGACCTCAATAAGACCAATGTCTTAAAATTTCAAAATAATAATAATAATAATAATAATAACCCCCATGAACGTGTCACCTTTTGGCAGGCATCACCCACTTTAGCTATTACCTCTGAAACGGTCACTTTACCAGTCTTCCTAAACCCCAAGAACGAACCTATACTACAGAATTTTCATTTATTTAAGTTCAACAATTTCTTTATAATGTATATAAACTAAACCCAAATATTATGAAATACTTGATTTCACTATAATATAAATGGCTTTAATACAAATAAAATAAAGCCTCCTCATACATCTTAAGAAATTACAGTGAACATTATAATAATAACATGCACATTAATTAAGATTTAAAAATCTCAATTCTTTATATACTTTAATTAAAATAAAATAATAAAATTTGATGCATGTATATTATATATCCGATAAACAATTTAAAGTATTTGAATCTTTAAATCAATTAGGTTAATATTGCTTGCGTATGGTACACAAGCCCTATAGGTTTTTCAACCAAAAATTAAACAATTAAAACTCAAATCTTTAAATCAATTAGATCAATAATATTTGCTTATGGTTAGCAAGCCTCCATAAGTTTTTTAACTTAAAATTGAACAAATATCATAAATTACTTAATAAAAGTACTAGACATAGAGCATGGTTAAATGACCACACAACTTCACGTTAAACTAAAAGTTTACTTATACATGTAATTCAAGATATATACCTCCTATTGACACATGTAGCATAAATATTAACAAAAAGTTTAAATCATCCAAAACCCATATAATATGATATGTAATATTATATATTATATTATATTATATATATTATATACAATTGCATACAAACAATACTGAGTTCTCAAACCAAAATCAATCTTCCAGATTAATTTTGAACGAAAGACAAATACTTGATAGTTTTCTTTCCATGCACACATTAATTCATATACATATAGTTAAAGACTTTTAATCTTCATGCATATTAATATATAATTCACATAAATCAAGATATTTAGTCTCATTGTACATCCATGTCAAATTATTTGGACATAATGATATATTGCTTATGAATGGTTAGATAACCACACATTAGTGCATCAGTTACCATACATGTATATGAATATATGATTGAATACCAAATTAAATAAATATTTAATCCTGATTTCTTTCAAAATATGTTCAAATAGTTTATGAGAATATATATTTAAAATCAGATATTCACATTTATATAAATAGTTGTAAAATCATTCAACATAGATGGCAAATCCAAATTGGAATTATAAATTCAAATATTTATAATTTTTCTTTTCAATTTGATTTCAAAAGAAACAATTGGGTCACAATACAGTAGAAGTAAACACATATATATGTTTTCTCGTTTGGCGTGCAAATTTTATAAAGAAAATAACTTATACACTGCATAACAAACTGATTGTTTATACATTCTCAATCAGCATGCACAATTTATAAAGGAACTGATACATTGCATGACAAACTCATGCTTTAAAAAAAAGGTTTCTCACGTACATAATAGATTATGGTATTTTGAAACAAAACATTGCTTATATATATAAATCAATTACATATCAATGTAAAGTTTAGGTAGCCAATGCAATTTTAAATGCACCGATTCAAGTATATTATATCATAAATCAATCTTTACTATTTTGAATTCTATAAATTTTAATTTGGCTCTAATACCAATTGTTAGGTTTTAATTAAATTAATCCATGTAGAAATCAAGAATACTTTAATTAATTAAAGAGTAATTTAAACTCGTAATTGATTGATAATTAATGCACATATACCTTTAGAATATCCATATAATCTTCTAAATTTTTGTAAAATATTAGAGCGCTTTACCCCCTTATATATAACAAGAATAGAGGACGACTTCTTTACAAACAAGCATAACCTAGGTCTCCTTTCTTATCATGAAAACTTAGATATTAATACAAAATTGGACAGTACAACCAAATCTATCAAGCATCCATAATCATGTTGCAATCTTATTTTAAAAAACTTAGTGAATAGTACCATAAAATAATTTTTATTATTTATATATAAAATTTCCAACAGATTATCCTATTTTTTTAAGTCAAAACAGTATTCTTGAAACCCTTTATCGGTTAAACGTCGGCGGTAATACCGTCAACGTTAACGATGACACCGGCATGTTTCGGACGTGGGAACAAGATGACTTGTACATAATTAGTGGTAGTTTGGGGGTGATACCTCGCAGGAATGGTCCGATCCACTACAGTTCGGCAACACCGGCTTACACTGCACCTGAGATGGTTTATAATAGCGCAAGGAGTTTTGGTGTCGATTCGGGGTTTGATTAGTTGTATATAATTAGTGGTAATTTGACATGGAGTTTTGGTGTCGATTCGGGGTTTGATTATCTTGTGAGACTTCATTTCTGCGATTTTACTGCGGATAGAACTAAAGAGAATCAGAGGGTGTTCACTATATATCTTAACAATCAGACGGCTGAGGATAAAGCTGATGTAATTTTCTGGAGTGGTGGTAATAGCATTCCGGTTTACATAGACTATGTTGTGCAGGTTCCGGAAGTTGGTGGTCGCTGGATCAAGCAGGACTTGTGGCTCGCGATGCACCCTAACGTTGAAGACCAAAATAAAATTTATGATTCGATTCTGAATGGTTTGGAATTGTTCAAATTGAACCAATCTGACGGTAGTCTCGCCGGGCCAATCCTGATATTGTGGAATCTGAAACACCCGAACCCAACCCGAGCACGAAGTTACCGTTGACATCTACTGGTAAACGCTCGTTGCCAATTTGGATGGTTGTGGGAGGTGTAATTGGAGGGATATAGCAACGTCAGTTCTGGGTTACGTCATTTTCCCGCAACGGAGAAGAGTCAAAGACTTTGGCACAATTTCAGTGGCGTCAAGGTCAACGGGGTCAACGGCGTATCATGTTTCATCACTGCCGTCTGATCTCTGCCGACGCTTCTCGCTCGGCGAGATTAAATCAGCTACATGCAACTTTGACGACAATTTTGTTATTGGCACTGGAGGATTTGGTAATGTGTATAAAGGGTTCATGAATAATGATACTGCTCCTATCGCGGTTGCGATCAAATGGTTGAGTCCTGGAATCAAGGCAAGGGGCCCACGAGTTTCAAACGAAGATCGTAATGTTCTCAAAGCTCAGACACCTCCATTTGGTGTCTCTGATTGGTTACTGTGTTGATGATGGTGAGATGATCTTGGTGTATGATTACATGGCCCATGGGACTCTCCGTGATCATCTCTACAAATCAAACCACCCTCCTCTCTCGTGGAATCAACGCCTTCTGATCAGCATAGGTGCTGTACGTGGATTGAACTACCTTCATACTGGTGTAAAGCACACATCATTCACCGCGATGTAAAATCAACCAACATTTTGTTGGATGAGAAATGGGTGGCCAAAGTTTCTGATTTTGGGTTGTCAAAAAAGGGTCCCATTGGGATGTCCCATGTGAGCACCGAGGTGAAGGGTAGTTTCGTGTATTTGGACTTTGAATATTACCGACTTCAACAATTGACACAAAAGTCTAATGTGTAGTCGTTCAGAGTGGTATTGTTGGAAATGTTGTGTGCTAGGTCACCAATTGTTACAAGCTTACCAAGGAAACAAGTGAATTTGGCGGAGTGGGGCCGGTGTTGTTGTCGAAAAAGGAACCTTGATCAGATCGTGGATCCACATCTGAGGGGTCAGATTGCACCAGAGTGTTTAAGGAAGTTCGGGGAGATTGCTTATAGTTGCTTGCGTGATCATGGGATCGAACGGCCATCAATGAATGATGTTGTGTGGGGGCTTGAGTTTGTATTACAGCTGCAAGAGGCAGCTAATAAGAATATCAACGGTGGAGACGAGTTTGGTAAGAATCATGTGATGGGTACGTATGGGTCCCATATTAGTCCCCTTGTTCCTCTTTGTGGATATGGAGACACAACCACGATGGATGATGAGGACGGGGATGTATTTTTTAGACCAATTGGATACGTATCTAGTTTAAAGGGCAGTGATTATATCGACGGTGTGTAGCTTATGCGATCCAGGCTAGACCTAAGTAGGTTGGTCGTCAAAACTTTTTCTTTCTTTTCCTTTTCTATTAATGAAATGCAATAATTGAGTTCTTAACCTTACCCCAATAATGATGGCCCAACTAGGTCCAAAAGCAAAAATTTAAATAAGACCAATTCGGATCAGATAGTTTGGTTCAATTTACTAATAATTTGGTTCGATTTTAAATTTGTTAGATCTAATTGAATCATTATGTTGTATATATATATTTATTTATATATGTTAATTTATACAATATATATATATAAATAATATAATATAATCCTATAATCTAAATTACTTAGAAGTTTTTAACAACTATCAATATTGTGATTTACTTTTAATTTTTTTTAAGTATTATTAATTTATTAGATGAATATTTTTTATTTTTTATTTCGATTTGCTCTTAAAAAGGAAAACCAAGAGCACACGAGATTCCGCTTACATTTACGTTGTTTTATTATTATTATTATATATCATATCTTATTGATCATGGGTCGAATCATTTTGTGACTAATAAAGGCCCTAGTTTTGCTTAGAGAAAGTCCACTGATTGTTGCACCTTATTACTCCTATAACTTTTTTTAATCGGAGAAAAAAAAAAAAAAAAAATCTAGTTCGTCATAATTAATATCACTGTAACTGTAGCTTCAACTTTTTCATTATTCACTTCTTTGATTGCTTGCACTTTGTCAGTGCACATTTTTTTTTAGGTAAGTTCTTTGTCAATGCACTTTTTGCAAAAACAACTAATCTTCTTTTTATAGGAAAATTGAATGCTAATCTACAAAGTTTGCCCAATTTATTAATTCTAGAATATCAATATTTATGTTTGGGGGTGAGGGGAGAATAATAATTTTTTGTTTTGTAATTTTAGTGGGGCAGTATTAAAATTTCAATTCAAAAAAGAAAAAATTACTAGTATATAATACTAGGGCAATTGCCTCACTTATGATATATCAGGTGCGTCTTGATAGGTTCAGTTGACTAGGGCAAAATTCTATCCCTTGAACCTTGTTGGAGACATCACTTCATAAAGACAAAGTCATGTGATTGTTAAACAACAAAATAGACAAATTTTTGGATTTAATGGCAAGTTAATTAGAGATAGAGATTTTCTACATTGGAGGATCACATGCATGATTGGAAATTTGGTTTCACACACTGACGTTAGAGAGAGTTTTCAAAATTCAAGGATAACTTGGGAAATATTCAATTTCTTTTTTCATAATAATTTATCAATAAATTACAACTATTAAATTGAAAAAAGAGACTTTATTTTGAGAGTGACGCGGGAGAAACAACTTTGTTTTCACGATTAAAGCACGGACCCATGTCCTAATATGTAATGTGGACTTGTGAGTCTTCACCTCACTGCTGTCAAGTGGTAGGGACTAGTCTAGTCTTTATCTATCAACCCTAATGGGAGGGACAGCGGAAAAAAAAAACCAATCAACTAGTGTGTGGTTGTTTTAGAAAAAGGTTAACAAGAGAATTAATTATTGAGAATACATTGTTATAGATTTACCGAGAAGAGATAGAATTAGAGAAAGATCAAACAATAGTGAGACAGAAAATAGTAAAGTGATTTTTATTTTTATATTTTTTCACTTGTCAGGTACATCTCTTAAACAAAGTTCACATGATATCTATATAGCTTCAAAAATGGACTTCTTCCGTAAACTAAGTAAAGAGCTTCTCTTGTAAGCTAGATAACGTGTTTTCATTGTAAGTTAAGTAATGAGCTTCTTTTATAAGTTAAGTAAGGAACTTTTCTTGTAAGCTAGATAACGAACTTTCTTTGTAAGTTAATTAATGAGCTTCTTTTATAAGTTAAGTAATGAGTTTCTCTTGTAAGTTAATATGAGTGGACCCATTTATATACATATATATGTATATCAAACATACATCATTATTTTTAATCTCTATGTATTTTATACATTAAAATACATTTAAATCTTTGCTTCCTCACACAAAATTAGCATAAATCTCAATGCATTTAGTACGTTTATTCTACATTTGTATTTCTTCATTGAAAATAAATGTAAGTGCGTTAAAAAATGTTACAATACGTTATAATCATGATTCGTCTCTTTTTGTCCGACAACTAACTCGTTCGATCAACTTACACGGATATTAGTCCAAACCTATTCAACGGGGATTGCAACCAATGCTACAACCATGGTTACACATTCATCAGAGGATCTAGACTTCGTGTAAACAACAAAATGAACAGGTTACATCCCCAATTCAATGCTTTACAACTTGCATTATTGGACTCAAAGTGGCACTGGCCCATATGGTGGTGCTACAAAACTAAAAGAATAAAGTGTTTTTAGCCACCAAGACCCCAGTCAACTAGTAAAACAAAAAGCATAGCCTTTCATTTCTTATCCAAATTAAAAAAATAGACTATAGTCTATAACTAATGCTAGCTGACTGGCTTTGTCCACCCACATACAGAAACTCATCTGAATTAAAGAGAGGAAGAAGAAAAAGAGAGATATGGGAATTGAATTGAAGAGTCCATATCTCTACTTCTCTTTCACTGTTGTACTTGTTTTCCTCAGCACAAGCACAAGCACAAGCATAGCAGATTCTGGTGAGGACACCAAGAACACGATGATGATCAGCTCCGATCAGTGCAACGCCAGCATAGGTGAATGCTTCACAGATGAAGAGGAGTTCATGGAATCAGAAGTGAGCAGAAGAATTCTTGCTAACACAGGCAAATACCTTTCATATAGGGCTGCAGGTTCGAGGAATCCGGTGTGTGATTCAACAAAAAGATTTAACTGCGGGAAACGCAGGAATGAGTATAATCGCTGTACCACCTACGACCGATGCAGTCGCCGTGGTTGATGGTGTGTGTGGTCGGGTCGAATCATCGTCGTCCTCATCATCATCATCATCTTTGCTTTAATCTCATATGAATTGAATTGAATCGCGCTGAATTAAATTAAGAGTATGGCTTTCTTTTGTGGTTTCATGTTTCTTTTTACTTTTTAATTTCAAGTGGTTTCTTCTTGTATATTACTGTGTGCATTTTGTTCTTTGAGTATAATAATAAAATGTCTTTCCTTCTCTTCTCAATAATTCAATACAGTCACTTTCAGAGAAAATAATACAATATCTTCTATAAGTCCATTCAATTTTTTTTTCTCCCACCGAAACAAGCACAAGGCTTACATATCTGGCACATGAGCTTTGATTAGCATTTGAAATTTCAACACCTATATTTCTGCTCTTATGATTGTTATATTTAATTTTGAATTTTACCAAACTACTTAGCCACGCTAGCTAAAAGAAAAACACTTTGAAACAAACAGACCACTAGTGAAGGTTGAAATTGGAGGTCTTACCAAGTACTAATTTTCAGTTATTAGAAGAACAATGAATGATCAGTACGTTGAGGCATTGTTTATGAATTTATGAATCCTATGTTCCAAAGCGGTAATAATTATTCAGATATAGACTTACCATGTCAATGTAGTAACTTATTTTAGATTTCCGTTATGAGAGGAACAAACAAGCTATCTCACGACAAGTTCATCTATAATAATGGATCTCCAAATGTAAAATATCATATCAAATTGCAGTTGGTGTTGCTCGGGGCTGGAATATTTACATCGAGGTTGCAATACAAGGATTCTTCATTTCGATATAAAACCTCCCAACATTTTTTTTGTCCAAAAAACGCTATTTGTTTCTTGCTAAATTGGGCTAGAGAAAACAGAGTATTATGTTGATGGTGGTGCAAAAGAAACTGTTTGATAACCCACTTTTTAGTTGGTTATTGTTGACAGTTAAATGGATGTTTCATAACACACTTACACAACAGAAATATCATCACAATCTCCGCTGCTTAAAAAAAAAATTCGTCCTCGAAATTCAGATCCAACAGTTTTCGTAGAGCCAAAAAAAAAAAAAAAACAGAAATATCATCACCACATTAATCAACAAACATATATTGAGATAATAATCATACGCATTCACGCATAATACAATATTTTATATAGTTCACAAAACTCTAGGACTTCGTCCATGAAGAGAGAAATTTTAATATTATAATTAAAAAAGAGAATATACAACCCGATATTAAAACCCCCACCCACTCTCACTCGTCACACTTTTAATACTACATCTTTATACTCCGAAATTACATATATTCCCCCCTCCTTATAACACTCACAAACCCCTTACATCTTTCCCCATATCATCTCTCTACCAAAACCCATCTCTATTTATTGAGTCTTCAAAAACATTTCCTTATTAGACAATAATTTCACAACTTGTCTACAACGAGTTACATAATAATCACAATTCCAAAATAACATCTTGACAAAATCACCATTATGGAGCTCACTACCAAAGATGAACAGGTTCCCAAAAAAAATGATTTGATCCATTTGGGGTCACTAATTTACCTAACACACCGCAAGTGAACATGTCCTTCTTCTGCACATGAATTCAATCCACAAACCCAATAATCTCCACCTTGGTTTGAATTCAATCTTCACGCACTACCCTGATAGCTTCACCTTGATTGAAGATCTCTTCAACTTGAATAAAACGCCATGATAAATTTGATAAACACTACATACATTGATGTATTTTTTTAGGATTTTTGAAGGGTGTTCCGTAAGTCTGTTGTTTACAGCTATGCAATGATAGTTCTTGAAATTGTTGATGAGTAAAATGATATTGAAGCTGGAACAGTCCTTTTCCGACTACATTTACGAGCAAGGGGAACATAATAAGGATGTTAATGGCATTAAACCTAATTGAACGGAAGATAATTTGCATTCTGGCGTTGGAGAATAGACAGAGTTTGTTGTGCAATAGCAGTGTGCTTGGTGCGGCAATTTCTGACGGTGAATAGTGCAACGACGAAAAGGAGAGATCAGTTTGGCGAGTATGCGAAGGTACAATCTTACACCACTATTTCAGATTTTCCAACAGGTGTTTAGAAGGATTATTTGTTATAGGAGTCGAGATTATTACTTTATTTGATTCTCTCTTGTTGATTGAAGTATAAGTTAGGGCATAAACTTGAGAAAAATCTATGTACGTGAGAAAAAGGATTGAAAAAAAAAAGGGAAAATTACATATAAATGGAGTCAAAGTTTCATATTTACTTAGAGACTGAGTCAAAGTTCCATATTTCTCTAAAATGGATTGCTGAGGTGGCACATGATTTTTTACTGTTTAAAAAATTGTGGTGCCTAAAATGCCCTTCCCTAATAAAAAAATAGTATCTTCAGTTAAAAAAAGTAGTACCTTCAGTTCAAAAAAGTAGTACATTCGGAGAAAAAGTAGTACCTTCACGAGTGTTTAAAAAACATGGTACCTAGACGCCAAAAAGTAGTACCTTCAGTTCAAAAAAGTAGTACCTTCGAAGAAAAAGTTGTACCTTCGCGGAAGGGTATTTTAGGAATCACAATTTCTAAATAGTAAAAAACCATGTGCCACCTCAGCAATCCATTTTAGAGAAATATGGAATTTTGACCCAGCCTTTAAGTAAATATGGAACTTTAACTCCATTTATATGTAATTTTCCCAAAAAAAAAATTATGGATATGATCGAATTTAAAAACCATACAGAAGAAAATTCGCTACTTTGTAAGCCAGTGAAAAGTATAAAAGTGAATAACAATTCTAATATTATGTGTCTGGTTTTGAAATCATATTTTTTCATTTGATATTTGTTCCAATCTCAAGGATCCATTGTAATTATTTCTTTAAATTTTTATTCAAAGTGCCGGAACAAGGACGACTTGACTTCTCCGTCAACCAAAAAAACAAAATGTGGAACCCTACAATTGGCCCACCAATAATTCGATTCAAAAGCATTGCTATCTACAGTATATCCAAGATGGTCCTGCACATGAATTTCATTCACGTCTCTCTCAAAGCACTTGAAGATTATTCATGATCTCAGTAAAAAAAAAAATTGATCTTCAATGCATCAACAATCTGTCCACCATATGTCTATATATGCTCTCTATCTGGTAGCGTGGAAATAATGTGAAAGGGTAAAAAGAAAGAAAGAAAAATCACTTAAACTCAGTCCTTTGTTAGATAAAAATTAATGGCGAAAAGCAAAATAAAAAATAGTAAACTGAATAAAGACAAATAAGTTCTTGATTAGGCCAAGGAATTCTTTTTGTAGAAGGTTAAAGAAAGTGATCATTTTCTGATTGGGTAAAGTCTAAAAAACACTTTCCTAGTTTTGATTTGGTGCTGATTACACCTCTTTAGTTTATTTTGTCCATATAAATTCCCCACTAAACACTACAATGTTGCAACTAATCACCGGTCAGATTTTTGGTAAAGAATGGGGTTAGTAGGTCTTCTAAAACAGTAAAATCCAAAATTACCCCTCACCATACTCACGGGCGCCCTCATATCTCTCCATATTCACGGCCCTCACATCTCTTCTTCCTCACTGTCACCACCCACACCATTCTACAGAGCTCCTTGCTCAATCCAAGCACATCGATGACAGTCCATCATCGATGACAAGGTCTATTCCGAACAGTTCCTCATCGTCGGTATTCGATCCTCCCCAATTTGCTTGAAGAGAGAATGGCGAAGGCAAGCTCGAAACGGCGATGGCGAGCTTGGAGCAAAGACGGCGGGGTAAACCCACTTTGATCTCTTTCTAAGCGAATACCCTAAATCTTAGTGACAGATGAGTGAAAATTTCACAAATAGATGAAGAAAAAAGAATTAAATTCAAATCCAAATCTTAGAGAGAGAGGTGGCGGTTGCCAATGAACGGCGGTGATTTGTGGCAGGAAGCGGCGCCGTAGCGGAACAGATCTAACTCGAACATGTTTATTGTCACCTGCATGGCTGAGCACAACCACCCCATGCCGACTCACCGGAATTCACTCTCTGGGAGTCCTTATGAACTCATATTTCTTACATATTTTATTCCCAAAATCATATTTATTAGTACTTTATTTAATTTAATTTAATTAATTAATTAATGTTTTTATATTTTTAAATTATTAGGGATAAAATACCAATTCTGGAATAAAACTGGAAACAAGTGAAGGTTGACTACATTGTAAAAGAGATTATATATTTTTTCAGTCAACATTGAGCATGAGCAAAGCTCCAGAAGAATTAGTTGGGTCTTATCCTTACATTTAAGAGGATTTGGAATTTTTGAATCTTAAACAAACAAGTGCCACATCAGCAGCGTTTCGTCAGCAGCCAGGTCCGCCATCCAGCCACATCATCACCGGCCTGCCAAGCGCCACATCATCAGAATGTATCATATAATGAATATATATATATATATATATATATATGTATGCATTGTGCACGAAACGGGATAAGATCGAGAAAGTAAAAGGAAAGATAAAATAAGAACGAAGAAAAGAGAATGATGGGGGAATGGATTGTGTCAGCCGAAAGCAAAAGGAGAGTTTCATTTATTGATTTCTACTTATATGATTTTAATATATTTGGTTTTCACTTCTCTTTAATTATTTTAAGTTTCTTTTATCATTAATATAATATATTATTAGTAATTAGAAATTATTATAATTAATCCTTATTTGAGTAATAATCTTTGATCTTGTGTTTTTCATTAAGTTGGATACATTTGATGCTTTGAATATTACTATTTTAAGCCAAGAAAAATCTAATCTTGAATTAGGAAGTAGCAGAGTGACACTAGAATTGTTTCTCTTACCTTTGTAAATTGATAAATGAAAAATTAAAATTTTATGAGGTTAATGGTGGTGGAATCCTATACCTTAGTATTTTCTTTAAATTGATTTCAATTGTATTGTTTTTATTTCTTGCATGTTAGTATAACAAATCCATTATTCAAATCAAATTGGTAGATTACACTTAAATTAGTTTTGATTCATATTAGTGTTTTTTTAAAAGCATTTATTTGGGTTCGACCTCATTTTTGTCGATCATATCTATACTCCAATAAATTCGTGCGCTCGCGAATTACATTTTATTTTAAGCATCAAGTTTTTGACGCAAAATAAATTCTTGATTAGGCCATGAAATTACTTAAACTCAGTCCTTTGTTAGATGAAACTTAATGGCGAAAAGCAAAATAAAAA